TATATATTGTTGGCGGGATGTGTGACGGTTACCATATGCCTAGACAAGAAGTCGACGACGGGCGGGTATCCACCCTTCCTTTGACGCCTGGCTCGGCAGGTATGAGGCAACCTTTCGATGGGTAGATGGAACGCAGAGAACGTCGATTCCGAGAGGAGGAGACGGGAAACTATCGCAAGGTTGAGGGGGGTTTTCTTAACCACAAACCCTGTTCCAGATTCCCCGCTCGGGGATCTTTAGGGCATGGACACGAGCAGCGAGCCCGCCGACCACGACCGAGCCCGCCGACCACGACCGAGCCCTCGTCCGCAAGTCGACTCATCGATCAACTACCTTGATAACTTGATGATACAGCTCCGACTTCCCTCGCTATATGACTAACGGCGCTATATGACTATGGTCGAATCGGTTTTCCCGTGGGAGAATAGGAACCGTTTGCTGTAGAAAGGGAATCCATCCTACTGAGAGCTCGATCTTGCCCAATTCGTTCATCGGAATCCTGCGATCCGCAGCCTCCGTGGGAAGGCCTCGCCGATTGAGATTGGGGAGCCTAGATTTTGAGAAAAGTGATCAATGAGTCGATCTGCCGGATATTTTATTCGGGGAAAGTTTCATTCTCATCGGCCGACTACAACCGGGTAGAATTGTTTCGTCATTTCGTACTGTGGTCGACCAAAGAAGTCGAACCTCGATCGTCGTCTGCCGTAGTCCTGATCGTAGTCTTCATCTATGAGCAGATCGCTCCTGCTATGGAACGACGGGGGCACCCTCCGAACTGGATCAGCCGCTGTGGAAAGGAGAATTCTCTTACAATTAGCGCTGCGTCTGAAGGCGCAAAGCATCCTGGTTGGCTGCAAGAAAACGAGGGCCGTGCGGACGATGCTGCGAATGATGATTGGACAAAACATCGAAACAAGTCGTGTGCCGAGATTAGGAGCGGGGACATCTGACATCGCTCACCGACGACAGACAAGGCCATCAGAATGATTATGCCTGATTTCATTCTCGATCTCATTCTTCAACCGGAATTTCGCTCCTTGGGTCTCATTTCGCTCTTTATATGACGGGCTTTCAGAAAATTGTCACGACCGGGGGAATCACGATCCGACAAGCAGGATCCACGTATTCGATGCTGAGATCATTCGAATCATCTCTGTGTTCAGCGCCCTGTTCAACCTATCAAATCCGGCTCCGGATACAATCAGATAGAACATGAAGCTCGAGAATTGAGAACTTTACCTCCCGGGAGCTTCTCCTGGGACTATCCCTCGGTGGTTTCGGCGCCCTCTTCATCGCCGCCCTCGGTCGGGGCTTCACCGTCTTCCCCTTCCGCTGCTTCTTCACCAGCTTCAGAGCCTTCCGCTCCCTCAGTTCCAGCAGATTTTTTACCGCTGTCGCAAGGGCAATTACTCAACGGTAAATAGTCACACGTCGCTTGAGGAACTTCGCAGCGCTCCCGCATCTCGTCCGTAGAGCACAAAGTGTGCAGACCGAAGTCCGAACATCGAACGACTTTGTTCGCGTTGATCCCTGCAACGGCTTGAATCATGATGGCAATTAGAATTCATGCTCTTGGTTAAGAAATTCGCGGCGCCTCCGAACGTCCCTCTCTGTCGGATTTCTTTTCATTCATAACGATCGAGCGACCCTTCATTTCTTCGTTGATATGGAAATTCATGTGACCAATTGTTCTCTAAAGCTCTGAGCGCCCACGAGAACTCATAGCAATCTCGGAGCGCCCTGGGCGCGCGAACTCCCGCGACGGGAACTTCCGACTGTCATGCACATAAGTCAGATCTCGGATTTTTCTCTCGACTCTTCGCGACGAATCACTGAAGAACTTCCCCAGGAGAGAAAGACCATAATCGTCCATTATGACCTCGATCATGTACTATTCACTCCTTTCGCGCAATGGAGGTTAGATGAAAAAGGGAGACCTGAAATTCTCTGGTGTATCTACCAATTCCATCTACTTCCTCGGGACGTCAATTCTCACGGAGTGGACGAACATACCATTGAAGGCGCATATCAGCAAGAGGGCCACAACTTGAAGGGTGAACGAATTCATGAGGCAAAGTCTGGGAGCCGCGATCTCCGAATTCGCCTTACAAATAGGACACCTGAGAACAGTCCCCAACCTCACTCGTCCGAAGCTTCGATAACGATCCGGAAGAATGGCAACATTCAATCGTTTTGAAACGGATGATTTATTCGAGTTCCGGGTAATGATGTCCGGCGGTCACGATCAAGACACCTTTCGGAAAACTTATATAAGATTTACGATAGGACCTAAGAAGCTATTATTAGGTTACTAGCGGAGAGCTGGCTTGAGTCTCTGTTTCTTCACCTCGCAGACATGGTATTCGGACATGGAATGTATTCACCGTCCGACTACTTAAGTGAAGGAAGCCTCCGTCGGCTTCAAAAATAAAAGGTAAGGCCAATCGACCTCGTCGCCGAGTCTACCTCGAGGGACAATTATGCATGGCGTCATGAAAGGTCCCGGAGAGAGCACTCGTTGGGGATTCGCCACAGAGAGGACCGCGGTTGGCCATCTGATCGACCCTCGGTAGCTCCAGAGAGAATCGAAGGAACCATGGATGATCCCCAGGGAATCCACAGGGATGCAGACCGCCGGGCTTAATGGGTGGAATTTCTAGCGATGTCACCTATTCCAGGCTCCTCAGCGTCTAACTCGGGGATTTGAATCTCGATGACAAAAATCTCTCAAAATCCAGACCACGGCGCAGGTCGAGAGTTCACGGGTACAAAAACATCGCTCGACTGAAAAGCAGATTCGATTTCGTCTCGCGGGTCGCTTCGTATAAAAGAATGCGAGAGAACACCTAGGACCGTTCTCCGAAGAGATGAATGATTACCAAGATGCTATCAAATCGATTTCTCGTGGAGGGAAAATTCACCTTATCCACTTTTATGGATTTTCTTCAGCTCCAAATAACGGAAGAGATACTCCGTGCCTTACTACATGAATATACCCATGGTACATTCCGACGCTGATGGCTCGGAGTGCGCCTCAAGCTAGATGCTGGATGAAATTCTTCGGAGAGACGATGGTCCTTAGCACTCGATCGATGTCACTGACCGTTTTGTCCCCACATTTGTATCTTACGTCTGCGCAGTCGACGCTCTCCAGAAGCTTGGGAAGGAAAACTCATTACATGACGAACGTCAGTGGATCATATCTCAGTCAGAGGGATGTAACATCGATGTCAAATTCAGAACTCGGGTGAGAACAAGCGGAACAACTCCTTACCGACAAAGCACAAGATTGCGAAGGAAAGACAAAGGAGCAAGATCCTCATCCTGAAAATCTCAATGAACGTCGCCGATGAGCCAGTCGAAGTCAGCTCGAGAAGTCAGTGTCGCTGACGACTCCGGTCTGCTTCGGTAAAATCTATGGGATCTATAGTATGGAGGCACGAATGTCGGTATCACGACTCTCTGAGCTGAGCTTCTTTATCTGAACGAGGCGAGCGTCGTCAAGGATAACTATGTTCCACGAAGACCCGTAATCTACGAGATCGAGAGATATTCGTTTGGAAACATTCCGTGCCCAGTATTCTTGTGGAATCTTCTATTCTTCTTCACACGGAGACGAATTGAGAGAACGGGACGAATCGTTCCCCCGGAGAATCTTACGAGAAACGAGCCGAGGGCGCAACTGCTCTTCTGACGCAGCTACAGACCGAGGATAGTTCGTCCTTCGCGTCACGGAAGTTAGAACATACACTTCTGTCGCATTTCAGCTCTATATCCCCTGACCGTAGAATTTCGAGGCGGACTCCGTGTGATGCCGAATTTCCGACCCAAGCTATATCGTTATAGTCCGAGGCAAGATGATGTTTTGTGAAGTACTTTGCTGAGGGAGCCCACTCCCCTCTTCCCCCCAAGTCGCGGTACCATTCTCTCATGAACTCTTTCGCTCGTCTTCTGGGAGTTGGGAGGCATAGTGTATAGTGAACCGGAACCATTCATTTAATCTCATACCTCCCCATGAGGCTGATGATGCAGCTCCAAAACCGTGGAGCCTTCTCGGAAGAACTCCGAGACAAGGTAGGAAACGGTCAGCTGTACCACCACAGATATTGGAGACCTGTGATGTATGATGAGCTGAGCCAGTGCCGGTGGTTCGTTTTGAAGGGAAATCTGACATATCTGAGTCCGTTCCGAGAGGCCCGTTTTCCTGTCACCGTCAGCGAGCTCTACATGTTCTAACTCCGACAAGGGACTGATGATCCCATGAACCCGAAGCATATCAATGCTCCATTCAAATATCCTCAGTTTCCGTCACAATCCTAGAACGGGAGTGAAGGCCGAACGGGAGCTCGAACGAGGCAGGGAGCCGAGACCCGATTAGGATCGGTACGGACCTCTCAGAGTCCCAACCCCAAAGAATTGGAGCGAGCGAACACTGCTCGAGAAGAATCACGAGTCGCAATTGATTCTCCTTGTATTCATTCAGGTCTGTCCATTGTCGCAGTCAGGTCAATGCGACTCTCTCTCCGCTCCTCGGTTTATACTACTCATCAAGGAACTCTTATCTGAAATATTGCGTCCTTCGCGGTGGACGTCGCGAAAAATGGCGTACTGCCCTCTATATCTTCCCGAATCACACTAATGCCCAGCCTGATCTGTAGAGCTGCCGCATGACCTCCGAGGACTCCTGGCGGGATGAGGTCGAAAGTTATTTTCAGCAGGCGGAGAGAACTATCAGTGACAGCTCCGGATACGGTGCGACGCCCCAGTGCGGGACACAGCAGCCTATACTCATTGACGGGGAATCGTTCGCGGTGTGGAGACTGCAGGCGAGGGAGCCCGAGAGATACCTCCTAAGCTCCGCAATATATGACTTTGCCGCATATCTATCGAGGAACATATATCTGTGGAGCGCTGAGCTTTTCTCAAATCGTGCTCCTGCTAGTCGTGACGACGGATGCGATAATCATCATATATAAAAAGGATCCTCTGGGTTCAAGCTCATCTCGGAGCAAGTTCGGTGGACTCAAGATGAAGGCTGCCCTCATTTGTGTTCTTGTCGCGCTGTTCGTCTCTGGTAATGTTCGCTCAAAACGACTCGATATTGCATCTCGTCTTTTCTCACCTTCTCCGGCCGTGACGTGATCTCTTTTCCGCTCACCGGAGCTCGGCATGATCACGTTCCCCTTCTCGCTTGGTGAACCCGGATTGGGAGATCTTGGTCAGAAGGAGAGCTCGTTAAAAAATCAAATCATATCTGACTTCAATTCTTGACAGCTGAGTCGGCCAGGGGATCTCGGGGAAAGGAAAGGACGATCCAATGCCGGGATATAGAGATGGAAATCATCTGCACACACGAAGACCTGCGGCAGCACTGTGAAGTCCCTAAAAAAGCATGCAAACGCGCAAAGGTTCAGTATTACAGTGAAACGCCCAGTCTGACCGTGAACCAGAACACCAATAGAGAAAATTCTGGATACAAGTATGAGCAGATCTACGGTTGATGGTCCAAGCCGATTCTTCAGCCTATCTGGTCACCGATGGACGATTCCTGAGGAATGAAGGCGCAAGTCGATGGAGCGTTCTGAGCGGAGCGGGCGAGATATCCTTCAGTCCAGCGGTCTCCCAATGAGCGACCCGCTACGGATTGTCGATCGAGAGGTCAATCATCTCCTTAATGAAACATTCTTGAAACTCAAGTGACACGGGCTTCTAGCGTTCATGTTCAACTCACAGAGCGACGCATCAATTCATCAACTCACGCGTTCGTGTAATTCCGCTGCTATGGAGTCCGCGAGATATTAATAAATATCGTTGATCGCCGCAAAAGTCAGTCCTGGTCGTCTCGTCACTATGTAGAGCCGAAATAGATGAAGCGCACCCCGAAACGACATGTCCAATCGATAGGGAAGTCCGAGACGATTCCGATCCCAACGGAAAACACGAATGCAGGCTTCCCGCGCGCATGCTTGAGCGTTCTAACAGTCGAGTAAGGGAACTCAATGAACTAGAAGAATGGAAAGAATGTCCGTTCATAAAGGAACTCAATACATACTCCGGTGATAGTATTCCGCGAGTTTGCCGTTTTTGTGGCTTCGAGCTCCCGTGAGAACCTTCAAGCGCTCTGTTTCATCATCAACATGCGATTAGAGATTTGCGTGTGTCAACCCAGCAAGCGGAACACCGAGTTCTCCGGTGAACATTAGATAGAGTTCCCCGCGGGCGAAAGCCTAGGAAATACCCTAACTCGGAGGATGCGACATCAGTGTTACTTCAATACAGCTACATTCTTAGTGGCTCAGGCTTCCGCGGGCAGCTCAAAGATTGGAATGTCTAACTAAGACGTCACGCGTGAGCGTAGTTCGTGCCCGCGTAAGGCTGAAGAGCGCCCCGCGGTGCTGCTAAGACAAACTTTTCGAATTTCCACTGCGCCGGGTGGCGTTGGGAGACTCCGATCGGAGATCCCTCACGCGATCGATTCCCGCCACTCGGTTCTTATTTCAGGTCCAAGCTCAGTACGAACTCTCGACCAGTGCTGGTTAGCCGTCTTTGGCCTCCACGGACTCATGTACTCGAACCCCGATCATCGAGGCGCGAATCCTTATGTCTTCCGCGCTCAGTCAGCATCTTCATGAGGACACTCCACCTACCTAGCTCAACTCGGAGCAAGACCCCATAGTCGAGGCTGACTCGTGGATCGGATAAACGCGGGAGCCAGAAAAACGTTTTGACAAGATCAGCTCCTTGTCTACCTTCAAGGAGGAGCATGGGCATGACCTGTGAGAACTCGAGAATCAGTTGGGAAGAAGTCAGCCGGCTTGTGCACAATGCTACGATATCCGAAGCTCGCAGCGAATCGTGATTCCGGAATTTTTCGTGATTTAAAGAATAAAATCATGTGACTATATAAAGCTAAATCGGCAAGCCCAGTCCACAGTCGGTTAGTTCGATGTGCTTGAGTGTCAACATGAAAACCATTTTTCTATGTGTCCTAGTCGCAATATTGGTCGTAGGTGAGCGAGCGCGAAGATTACGCTGTTCCTAGAACCCGCGGTTTCCTCGGTGTTTCACGTTTCCCGCTCGGCTACCCTGGAAACATCAGGAAATCTGAGCCCCCTCGTGCTCCTCAATTCCTCGTCTCTTCCACACCCCAAAACAACAATACACTAACGGAGGCTCTGACATATCAAGGATCTTACGGAATCGTTTTCTGCCCTTACAGCGTCCGTCGCTCGACCTGACACCAAAATCAGGTGCAAAGACATAAACCGAGAAATTCTCTGCACCAATAATAACCTGCGAAATGCTTGTGGTATTTCGAGCAAACAATGCAAGCGGAAGGGCAAAGCCATATTCTACAACGAGACGCCGAGTTTGACGGTCAACCAGAAGAATGACAGGGAATCGTCCGGCTATGAATGGAAGCAGATATATGGTTGAGGAAATCGAATGTTTCTGGCTTGACGAATCTCCAAACTCATCAGGATCCCACAATAAAGAAAAACAGGTACCGACCGACTGAGGCTAGTAGTTCATCTAGCACTTCTCACGGAGAGTGCTGATCTCTCTGCTAAACAAAATATGGTAAGGCACGTAGCATCCGGAAGGTTTATTGGGATGAATTCACACTGCGAATGAAGCGCCACGAGATAAGCCCGGAAAGGTCGTTCTGAACGGAAAAATTTCTCTCTGACGCTACAAGCCACGGGAAGTGGCGGATGCCGCCAGAGGATCGCCGGTGGTAGAGGATTCCCGCCTTCGGGAATTTCTTCCCCAATCCTCCGCAAGATAATCAATCATGTAAGACCCTCGGCCGGGCCAAAATTGACGTTAATCTTCAGAGAAGGTTCTCGGGGTCTGCCAAGCCTGAAATCCCTCTTGATATCCGAAAACCATCATCATCAACATCATCTTGGTTGGCTAGGCAAAAAATTCACTGCGGAAGAAGTATGGCCTGACATTGAATTCAGCGGAATCGATTACCTCCCGCCGCTCCCTGGAGAAAGAGCAAACGCCCCTTCCACGCGATAGCCTGTCCTTGACAGATGCACTAGGCTCCGGACAATTCGATCCCTGTGGCAATATTCCGTGGCCCCCGTGACCTCCACGTTTGGATTCATCCGAATGCTCAAGCTATTGATTGAGGAAACAAGGCAAATGAGAAGGCGGATGGACCTCTTCGATTCGAGGGAACGAGGCGGCTCCCGCGAAGAGTCTTCTACGTCTTTCGGCTTAGAGCGGAGCAGCGATGCATTGAGAGAGAGTCGATTGGTCTTGAGAAGGGGAATACCCCCGTCTCCTCTTTCGCGCGAGGATTTCTTCCGTGGACGCAAAGGCGGTTCTGACTCATTCTAGCTCGCTTCTGCCCGAAGCCTCCCTCGAGGGAGCGCATCCGTGCCGAATAGGAATGAGATACTCGCTTTAGAGCCCTGCTTCGATTCCTAGCGAAGATCGTTCAGAAGATTCTCCATCATGGGCGTACGCGACATGAAGCTTTCTCATTCCAACCCTTCATGCCGAAGGGAAGCGGTGTTCGCGACGCTCGCACTCACACCGTGACCACAAATTACTCCGCCGCGTGCCTGGAATTTTCCGATTTCGGTGGATATACTCATCGATTCGATATCTCTACATATCCACAATTGTTTCTTTCGGCTGTCGGATCTCCGGGAGCCCTTCGTCTTAGACCCGCTGTGTCTGGCCCAGCTGTTGGCTATCTCTAAAGAATCCTTCGATGATATAGTCCCAGCCCCTCCTCAAAGTGAAGTCTCCCGACGCGAGGCGCACATTCCTTCAACTGAAAGGACGCTGTGTTTCACACCAACTTCGCCTTGTGGGGAACGGCATAGTTTCGGATTCAGGACTACGGTCTTGATCGCCTGTGAGATAGATCTGTAGGAACGCTCTTAATCAATAATAAATTCCTGTATCGAAAGTCCCACCGTGGCCCCATTCTTTAAACGAAGTCGCAGTAGGAGGTGAATAGTTTCTTGCGTAAGATAAGCCTTCGACGCCGACGTCATCGGAGACGTATGATCTATATCTACGCCTATTTGCGCACTCCTTCTGATGCCGGCGCATGATGAGGGAGGTATCGCAAAATAAAAAGAAAGAAACTTCCCAGTGGTCGACGAATAGTGATATTGCATACAAATGGCAGACGAATCTTCCATACTCTATTTCCAGTAGATACATGATATTTTCAGTTATGTCCAGCGGAATGATATAGGCTCGACCTTATTCTCAGAAAGTGAACACGCATCTTCCTGAATCGATTGAGGTCAGATATGATTTATGGGGTACGTCAGTGCATTTTTCGGGGGCTAGGCGTGGTATATGCGTGAACGAAGACCGAATCCATATGACCCGGCAGACCCCCCTTTGCCGTGGGAAATTACTGCGGGCACCCCTAATCCGAGCAATCATTGTGATTCCGGACGATTTTTTCTCTCCTGCTACTTTTTCAGTCATGTATTCGCGTGAGGCCGCTCACGGTCGCACTAATTTTGAGGAGAGACCTGCGGTCAAACATTCGAGAAGGAGCAGAACGCTTCCCACATACAGCAAGCATCGACGAGCGCCGGAAAGTTTGCGGAACACTTTGCTCCCACAACGAATGTGGATCGTGAAACATCATCAATAGGTGTCCCTGCGTATCTTAGTCCCAACTGTTAGGAGAGACGAGTAGTGAGTAAGAGAACTGCTGAAAAAAAGACAGTCTTCTGATTTGTGCATCGATACAGGTTTCGATAGCGCGTTTTGATCTCGTCTCGCAGGGGAGGATCTTCAAAAGAAAAATCCCATTTATAAATGTGACTTTTTATCGACGTTCTTAATTAATAAAATCTCTTTCCTTAACGATGGTGTGCGCTTCGGCTTCTAGCTTCACGTCTGCTGGATCGATGTTCCGTGCTATCTTCAAGAGATTCGTCTGATTCACTGTCACTTTCGGGTGCACTCTCGGACTCACTTTCATCTGAGCCACTATTGGATTCTTCATCACTCTCAGCCTCAGATTCGTCACTGTCACTTTCATCGCTCTCGGATTCGCTGCTGTGACTTTCTTCGGATTCGTCGCTTTCACTTTCGTCTGACTCATCCGAATCACTGTGATCTTCTCTACTCTCTTCGCTGTGGCTTTCATCGGACTCGTCGCTGTCGCTTTCGTCGGATTCGGAGCTGAAACTTTCGTCGGATTCGGAGCTGCCGCTCTCATCGGACTCTTCGCTATGACTTTCATCCGATTCGTCACTTTCGTCAGAGGCTACACTCCTACTCTCGTCGGACTCGCTCGCGGATGAATCAGATTCATCCAAGGCACTCTCATCAGACTCCGCGCTGGCAACATCGTGTTTTCTGGGGGCAGCCTCAGACACTGGAAGCATTTGGAAAGTGGATGAGTTCGTGCAAGAGCTCGAAAATTTCCCGCTCCGAGCAACTGCTCCGGAAAACCCTGGAGGTAGTTGCTCGTCACTCCATTGATGTATCCACGACAGTACACGCAGCAGAGGGAACAGTCGAGCTCCTTGATGCTCTTCGTGATAAATAAACAACATCTTTTTCTTTGTGGGAAACATTCATTACGTCAAAAGAATCTGAAGCCCTCTTACCAGCTACCATGAACGCGATCAGGATGCAAATATAGAAAATTCTCATCTTGAAAGCGCTGATTTCGGTCTGGTCTTGAACTCACTGATGAGCGAACGCGCTTCCAGACGACTTTTATATGCTGAAACTTGAAACTCGGGATCACGATGTGGGGAATCACGGTTTCTGCAGATCTATAGTCTTACTTTAACATAAATTCGGCGGACGGTAATCTTTCCAGGCAGAAATGCATGAATGTCCCCAGAGCTCAACTGGAAAGCTCTGGACTCGGAACCGATTCCCGAACCGACGCATTGCATAATTGCGTACCTAAATATCAGCTCGCCAGCGATTGGGTCACGTTATCGCTGAGATGCGGAAGAGCCCGAAATATGGAGCTCACGTCCATCGAGGAAAACCTACAGGTACATTCGCGTCGGGGAGTTCATCACACAGTAGGTTCAAATGAGTCCTGTGGCGAGCAATGTCGCAATGTCCTAATAAACGTCATCCCGTCGATTTGTGAGGCAGTCATTCCCGTCCCGAGAGCTTTTGAGCTCGCAAGTTTTCCGACATGTCAAACGACCTGTCAGGAGCTGTCGCACACGATGTTAGCCCTCGAGAAGAACCCGTGTTGTGACAAAATCGAATTTGAGTAACAAGTGTAAGCGTAGCACTCGATTGACTGTCATCGATCGGCGCACCGTCGAAAATTTTGTATCGTCCTTCAAGTGCAGCTCGTCCTAACGGAGACCCGGTCGTGCATGGAAGTGTCGGCACGGCCCGCGGTCTTGTCCCAAAACGAGTCGAAGACCAGGCGCTGCGTCCGGATTCTGATGACCTCGGTGAGATCGGCCCTGCTTCGAAGTTTCCACCGGCTCAGGCATGACAGCATCGAGACTACTCTTGGAGATCTTTCGGGGAGCCGGGAGAGCACCGTCAAGGTGAGGTCGTAGTTAGGTGCGGGGCGCTCCAGGGACACCGCGGGTTTGGCTTTGTGAAAAACTGTGAATTGGCAGCAGAAGCGCGGTGCTCGACGGTGGATCCATGCGGATTTTGTCGAAACCACATCGTCGTTCCACGTTGAGCTCGAGCCGCGGTCTTTGACAGAGCCTCCTCGAGCTTACCTGGAAACAAACCCTAAGCCTACTCCGGCGATACCTAAGACTTCAGGAGCTACCTGCCTCGGGATCGGGGGAATATTTTTTCTCCTGCAAGCATACTCACTGACGATTCGATCGCATCGCACCTCTCTCCCAGGGGGAATCCCCATGCTCGCCGCCATCGCACCCTGATCCTCAAGCGCTGCAATGATAGCAACACTCCATCAATTCCCATATGAGAAACCCAGCATCACATCATATCAATTTGAGGGGAGAGCGGGACAGTGAGGTCGACCCTGGGGAAAGCGTGTGCCATCGATCGGAGAGGATACGAGAGCAAAAATATCTCATGCCCAGAACAGGTTTGAGCTTTTGCCCTCCCGACAGGCGGTTCTGTGCAGAATGAGAGAGAGCTCGAATTTCCAGAGAATATTCGTTCGAAGATTACTGCCCACTCGGACCATGACCCTGAAGTTTGTCGGGACATTCTTGCAGGGCGAATTCTAAATCGACTTCGGCTCCTCCAGGTCCTGGAGCATCAGATCACCCAGCCTCGATCTTACCCGGCCTCGCTTACGTCTTCATCGTCCGTAAGCCCCCGTTTTCTCGACCATTGGAAGCTCTCCACACCTCCCAGATGAGACAGTCCCGATGAATCCTTGATATGGGAACCAATTGGGGAGTCCCCGAAGAAATTGCTGATCGCTGACCAAAATTCCTCTCTTCCCGCATAATTTGAAAAGGAAACAGTCTGATGGATGATCTAAGCGTACGTCGAGATATGTCGCTACTTAGAGAAGCTCCGAGCCTGTGAATCTCTGATCGAAGAAATGCTAGCCCGCGCTAGCGCTTTCTTATACTCACCAAGGCGATGGGAGCAGAGCAGACATCACTTGAATGGAATCAAGCAAAACAACGTCTTTTGCAGAAGATCTCTGAAATATCTCCCCGGCAGATAACGTCGACGTGCCCCGTCTGGTGGTGGATCAGCGAACTATGAGAGCGTCCCTCTCGGATAGAGACAAATGTCCGGGCTATAAATCTGCGAGTTGTGAATCCACAACTCACAGACGATTCGCTCGGATTCAGCGCTTAGAAGGAAATTCTCTCCTCAATTTCCAGCCCAACTGAGCAGTCCCAGAAGCCGGCTCCAGTGATCGCGCGCTTCGACCCCGAAGGGGTCTTCTCAAGGAGGGGGAGGATGTAAATACGTGGACGTGGCTCGCTCAGGGAAGGAGAAATCAACTTCATCCGAGGAGGCAATGGATTTAAAAAGGGAGTCACTCATAGAGTCCCAGGCAAATCTATACTCCCAGACATCCCAATCGAGCTCACTCTCCAACGAAAGCTTCACTCAGGGTTTGGCTCAGGACGCTTCCGACAGACTCGGATGGGGATCGCCGCTTCCTGGCTCCGGAGCTCGGGCTCGACGAAACATGGCTCCTGTTTTTCTGCGTATGATTCAGACCGACCGTGAAGGTCGTCTCAAGCCGGAGGACTACGGCGGCGAAGAAATCAAGCTCTCGATAAAATTGGAGAAATCACGTTGGCCATTGGGCTCCAACTCGAGGACTAAATATTCGATCAGAGACGATCCGCGACTCTCCCAATATTTTTCTCGTTCCATGCTCCATCGCGACAGCCTCGCATTTCGTGCGGCGCATTTGTGTTCCCACGGAGGGTTTCCACCAACGACCGGGGCGGGACATCATTTTTCTTCTCTGCGACTTATTTTGCTCATGTGAAATGGGAATCATTGGAGCTCGAGTCCCAACGACAGATGGGGTCATTATAATATGACGCACGGATCGGATGGTACCGCTTGACGCGATCGATCAAGCTGTTCCTTCATAGGTTCTCAGCCAACTATCTTATGCTCCCGTAGCTTATTATCTTCGAGCGATGATACCGGAATGATTGCGGAAGAGGACGATTCTTTTCCCTCGTCGAAGTCTGCTCCAATTTCGACCGAATTTGAAATCATGGTCATCAAAATTGTGGCGATCCGCATCACCCCTTCCTGGTGCAGGGAAATTGCCGATCGTCTGCTGAGGCCTTGAATCCGTAAGTATCAAGCTTTTCCTGACTTCTCCCCTCTGAAGGAACTTTTCTATGCGCATCGCGAATGTAGATGCCTATGTTTACATGCCACGTGTATTACGTATTCTACTATTCATGTAGTCTTCATGCCGAAATATAGCGAGGCGATCGTCGATCTGAATAGTTTTGCATTGCATCCTCGGCCGCTCATCGAGGAATCAGCTTCCACGCGGGTTCATCGCTCTGCATCGCCACTCTCGTGTGCTCCTCGTCGCTGCTAGGTTGAGGGAGATTCGGTTCGAGCGGATTGCGGAAGTTTTCCCCTAGGACAGGCGTGTCGAATCCGTGGCCCTCGGGCCACATGTGGCCTGTGAGGTCTTTTTCTGTTGCCCGCCACTCTTTCCCCACACACTCGGAGACGACCATTTCGAATGAGTGCTTGGAAATTGAATGTGGTTGGTGGAATGAATCCCTCCGTACAACCGGACAAGTTTCCCCTCGATCCCCGGAGGCTGGAAAAGCATTCTTCCATGGACGATAGGCATATATTCTCCTTTAATACGAAAGTAAAAGTTTAATGTGGCCCGCGGGCAACCTGCAGCGCTCGAATGTGGCCCGCCAAAAATTCAGGTCTAACATCCCTGCCCTAGAACTTTCCGCTTCGTTGATCGAAATAACATAAACTCGCGAGCGCGTGCATCGTGAGCTTTACGTCTACGGGCCAATCTATTGTCATCAAGACCACCTCTCCTTCTCAAAATTGTAAAGAGAATTGAACGAGGTGCTCGTTTTAGTCTCCGGGTGTCACTAACCGGGGAAGTTACTTCAGAAGTAGATGCAGGGAGTAATGGATGTGGCGCGCTGCTCCGGGTGGGGTTCAGTTCCGGAAATCAACGAAAACCATGTTCCGAAACAAGATTGAGCGGATGATCATCATGCCCGAGAATAATGACGACGTTCCCCTTCACATCGCTGAATTTGGACGATCGCCAAGACCCTAGACCGGGCGAAGGGAAGATAGCCCTACCATGGGCTTAAGGTTGTACCTCAGCTTCAGTCTCCAAGATGAGGGTCGAGATCATGCTGACAGAGGTGATGCTAGAGATACAACGAGTCATTCGAATTCTGAGATCATATAGGGGAAATTCGAATAAGGGGGAGAGATCCGTGGCTGTGATCGAAGAAACTCACTGGTCGATTCATCGGAGATAGCGGTTCCAACATGAGACGGAAGACATGGACACGAAATACGCAGAGCCACCCTCCCACAATCAGTGGGAAGCATAAGGGGAAGAAGATTGAAGAATTCATCGCTCGGGCTCGACTCTCGTCTCCCGCCGACCGTAGTCATTATTCCTCTCTCGGGTGTAGGGCATCATCTCTTCTCATAAGGCCCACGGGAGTCAAAACTCGCTATGAACTCCCGGCCGGGATTCGGCCCTGCCCATCGCCAGGTATCACTCCAGTCAACGTTGGAAGGACGTGAGGGTGTCCTCCTGGCAACCCCGGAAAGGCCGTTCAGGACAGTGAGTCCGCCTCCCTCTGCGCACACGTCGGAACTTTTTCCCCGCTGTAGTCTCAGGAGAGGGATCATTGTCGACTACGAGAGCCTCCGACGAGCATCGGAAATTCTCTTCCGGAAAAAGCGGATCGGGATCTCCCGTGGAGGCGGTAGATAGGTAGCACCCGGCGAAAACTTCCGTGTTTTCCTTGCAGTCTAACCATGCAGCTCCGGAGCGATCCGCCCCGCTGAAGAAGTGGCCCTGCACCCCTGCGCGAAAGGAGCTTTGGGATAGAATTCTGTCATGTGAAATGATCTGTCAGTGACGGGGCGACCGTGCAAACCCGACACAATCAGCTCCGAATCCCGAGGTACGGCGGGGCAACCGATAGATTTTTCGAGCCCACGGAAATACATACCATATCGTCAGTATTATACATCTATTCACATATGTAGACATATAGAT